TACCTTAATACTAAACCTATAAATATATTTCCCCATTACCATATATAAATATAAATACCATGCCTCTATTTAGACTTCTATAAATGCCCTTAGTCTCCTGGTTCTTTCCTCTATTTCGTTTTACTTTCCTCTTGTCCCACTATCATGTTCAGCCTTCATTTGGGTTTCAGTTATTTCTCAGTTACATTGCCCTTGACTAAGCCCTGACCAGCCTCCTACACCCTCCTCATTCTGGTCTTTGGATCACTTGTTGTTCCTTTGTCCCAGGCTTGGTCAACACCATGTCCTTTCCCCCACCTTCCCCTTTCCCATCTCCCACCAAAACCATTGGTCCTATTGTTTTCTCCTCCAGACTGTTCGTCCAGCCTATCTTGGCTAGATAGACCAGAAGATATAATAATTTGCACAATAAAACAAGACATATCAAAACAAAGCGACAAAAGAAAACAAAAGGATGCCAACAAAAAGCAATGACACACACACACAAAAGATAAACCTGTAAATAGTTCAAGGTCTGTTTGTCGGCCTCTAGGAGTGTCCTCTGGTCAAGTCCAATGGGGTTCTACACCTTGGTCCCAAAGTCTGATCTTGGCACTCCTTCCCCCCATGCTCTGCCGAATGCCCTTAGTGTTTTGCCTTGGTGTGGTGTGGTGGGATCAGACCGAGCTTAATCCTGACACTGTCTCCAGTGTTGTCCCCATAGGGCCATGGGTCAGCAAGGGATGTCATGTCCCATAGTGGGATCAGCCATATGGTCTTCTCTGTACATTGGCTGTTCTGAGAGAGGATATCGTCCTCAAGGCTTGGTGGGCCAGGATGCACTCCACTCTCCCTTCCTCCCCCTTCTTTTGCTCCCGGGTTCTCTAATCAAACATGTCCCTCTCCTGGAGCTGCAGCTTCAGTGCTGTTTTCTAAAGTAAATTATTCTGGGGAAGGCGTGGCTGTCCACGCACTTGGGACTCGGGTGGGGCCCTCAGACCCCTCCACTGGCTGCCCGCTCCATGCTAGCATGCTGCATCCACATCCCGGGCTGAAGTCTGGTCCCTCATACCCTGTGGAGATATAAACAATACACTCTCCTGGATGGGTTACTACCCTGTCCCCCCCGCCCCTACATATTTCTGTCTTTTGGGATCAAAAGATTTCACTGGATAATTATATCAAACATTTAGAAAAGAGTTAATAATCATATTACACAAATTATTCTACAACATACAAATGGACAACGTACTACCAAACTTATTTTATGAAACAACTATAACTCTGCTACTTAAACCAGGGAAAGACAGCACCAGACTTGAAAATCACAGACCAATATTTCTAATGAACATAGATGCCCAAATCTTCAACAAAATCCTAACCAACAGAATTCAACAAACCGTTTTAAAAATAACATGGTTTAATA